ATCAGTGAAGCATATAGAACTCCAAACAGTCATAACCAAAATAAAACTACACACAGACATATAATAATCATCATCCCAGAATTCCAACACAAGAATAGATTATTAAAAGCTGTCAGAGAGAAAAGACAGATCACTTATAAAGGAAAACCTATCAGAATCACAGCAGACTTCTCAGCACAAACGATAAAGTCAAGAAGAGCATGGGGTGAAGTATTCCAGATCCTAAAGCAAAATGATTTCCAACCAAGACTGATATATCCTGCAAAACTATCGTTCAAAATAGATGGTGCAATACGATACTTCCATGACAAAGAACAGCTGAAGAACTTCATGAACACCAAACCAACCCTGCAAAAAATATTGAAAGACAGTTTAGATACACAAAGGAAAAAACCACTAAGCAAAGCAAATAATTAAACAGAACCGAAAGATAAAGATGCAACAGCAGAGAGATAACATTCCTACAATTAACCAGCATTTAACAGTAATAACCATTAATGTAAATGGCCAGTGTTTGGGTTTTTGTTGTTGTTTATTTATTTTTCTTAAATTTGCTCAAAATCCTGGTTGCTCTGATGACTCTGATAGTCTCCAAAGATTTCTGGTCTGTATAAGGAAATGAGCATGTGAGCACGGTCTACTTCCAGAGCTCCACACATTCTTTCCACCACACTCTCTCATTTTTTCATATCAAAAGACGTTAACTTATATTCTTTTCTTTTTTCTCCAACGATGTCTCACTCTTACGAATAAAAATAGCCCCATGTACTCCATCAATTTGACCCAGTCTTCTTTACATTTAGTCATGGTTTCTTGCATTTTATGACATGTAAGTAGTATTCAGTCTCTTTTTTCTTAGTGATAATGAAGGGTGCCTTCTTTTCGTAGGTACTCTTGGTCATTTTAAGAGGAAGTTTGGAGAGATGGGGGTATCCTAATGCTCTCATTCCTGGAAGTTCATATTTTCATTCCACTGTCATTACCTCTGTTTTGATCTTTATGGCTTCCTTATTAAATTTATAAATTCTGTCTGTTTCTTAGTCATCTGAAACCTAGACCCTGAGGCATTTTGTTCTTGCATCGGATGAATCTTCCCATACTCAATCATTTGGCCCTTTATATTTTATTTCCCATACGTTCATTCTTTTCTATTCCTAATATTAAAAACTGTCTCAGTTGCTTAGTGACTCAGTCAAAATATAATACAGTATTGTAACACTCTACCATTCTTTTCTGCACTTAGACTGTCTTCCCTTGTTCCCAACTGTGGCTTAAGAGACAAATCTCTCTCCTTCTCTAGCCATCGTTACATCACCATATCCTATATCTGATTGTTTATAGAAGTAGAATTCATTGTGCAGTAGCCCTTCCATTGCAGCATGATATCAAGAGTGTTTACAGCATCATTTTACACTGGAACAGCCTCAGGTTTCATTAAGCTGTGTACTGCTGACTGTTTACTCAATGACAGGAAGAAGTCAGACAGCATGAAATACAAAGACTATCTGTGTAAACAAAATTTACTTCGATTTAAACTCAGGTAACCAGACGCCATGATTTTGCACACACTGATTAAATACTTAAGAATCAGATTCTTCATTAAAAATGCAAAAATAATGTCTCATGATTTGAGAATTAAACAAGAATTGTAGGTACCATAACAACAAATAGCATCTCAGCGTGTCAACTCTCTTTAACTACATTTAATGTCTAATACCTTCTCAGGTCTTTTAATTTGTAGGTTAGTGGCAGAATAGTCAGTATGCCAGGATATCTGTTTCCTAGATTCATTTTTTATTACTGATTAGAACTATGTCAAAATTTCCTGATTTACCTGTAATGCCTTCAAATGTATTATATGAAAATGATAAAAAAAAAAAGTTATCATTCCTTCTAAATGAGTCACTGCAGCCAGAGGTTTTTGCTTTTCCTGCATTTTGGAAGTAAATATCTAGGGGGGAGGTTGAATATTCTGTTTTTGAATGTTATCTTTATTTTAAAATTTTGAAGCTTGTACACAGCTATCCAAGTGTGGTACAGAAAATCCATGATAATCTCCTCTGCATAGGCACAAGCTATGCCAGCAACTTTTCCTTGTTGAAGATATATATATATATATATATATATATATATATATATATAAAATTAAGGCTCCATTGACTGAGACTCTGCCTAAGAGACCATGAGGACTAAGGGAAAAAATAATGTCTTTAGGACAAACACAGATCACTAGTGAGGTAAGTGCCAACAAACCACTCTGGTAGCACACCAGGAAAATATGATGAGACGTTTGTATTCATATGAACATAAAACTGGGTCCAGGGGACTCATCCCTTATTTTTCTACTGTAACTTTATTTTGAAAGTATAATAGTAGTCATCTGTGTGTCAGGATCTTTCCTGAGGGACACTGGAAGCAATTTATATGTTTACCAACTTGCTACACTGAACAACAAGTTGCCTGAATGTGTGCAAAAGTGTCAAGATAAGACTTTTCTCCACCTTATGCTCTGTGGAACTGGTTTTGTATATATTTGCCCAAGCATCACAGAAGGTCTAGTAGATCCAGGCCACTCCATGATTTGTTAAAAACAATTTTCTTTTGATTTTTCTGGTAACAGTAGCCCAGTTCATTACAGTGGCACATGAAAACCCAGATATGCATATTTTGGAGGAAGTAAAAAAAAAATGAATTGTCAGATTATTCATTTATGAATGATGACGATGCTCTGTTATGGTAAAGTACATGGTTTCACAACAATTTCAGTATATTTGCTGCCAACGCAAGCACATGCTTTCATAACAGAAGAGTGGTGTAGGTGGTGATGATGATGATGATAATGATGATGATTTTGATATTGGTCATGTGAGTCAAAATTCCTGGGTCATTTAAAGGGATCAAAACTCAACTGATGCAGACACGGGGAATGCAGACCTCCTAGATTAAAATGGTGAAGATAAAAAGTAATGCGAGTGCATATTTAACTAGTCAAAATGTTGGGAAATGGACACACAACCAAATGGAACCATCCGCTGTTAGAACTGGGCCTGAAAATATGGTGAGGGTCTTGACACGGGTGAAATGTATTGGACAGAACTGCAGTACTGCCATTCAATTTTGGAAATTGTAGCAGATAAAATGCTACAAGATGCTGGGTAATATACAAATGGTGAAATGCAAGTAAAACATTCTGTATGCACACACACACACACACACACACACATATATATATATATATATATATATATATATATATTCAGAAATACATTAATTATGACACTTCATTGGCTGAACTGAAAACATTCATAGGTCTTCCGACCTTAGCAAGGTTTTCCCATGGTTATAACAGGAATGTAAAATACTTATTGAAAAATGATGGATCAAAATATGGCACAAAGACTTATACCGTTATAGATATGAAGACTTATGTTTTTGGGTTGGATATTTATGCCAGAACTCAGTCATCAGTCCATACGTATAGTAATAAAACAAATGATGTTGTAAATACACTTGCTGCTCCATGTCCCACCTAATTAGAATGGGAATGTAACATTTGACAATTGTAGCAATTTCCAATTGATGCTGTATTTTCTGATAGAGCACAAATTAAGTAGTGCAGGAACAGTATGGAGTAACACCAAAATATTCCAATTACAAAACAGAGAATTGGACATTTCAGTCTTAGGATTTCAAGAAGATATGATATTGTCTCGTGTATGGCAAAGAAAAATCAACTGGTACTTCCATAATCAGGTATGGTGGTACATGCCTGTAATCCCGGTGCTTGGGAGGTGGAAGCAGGAGGATCACTGTGAGTTTAAGGGCGTCCTGGACTAGAAAGTGAGCTAAAGACCAACTTGAACTTCATAGTGGGACCCAGTCTCCAAAAGACAAAAAAAAATTTTCACCATGATGGAAATATTGGTAGAGAAATCCTGAAAAAATGAAAACCTCAGAAAGAAACATTCTACAATGAAACCAAAGGTGGAGTAGCTGTTGTTGATGCATGTTATGCTGCAAATATGATGTCAATGGAAATATAAATCCTTGGTCAACGGTTGTGTTTTACTCGATCCTAAACATGTGCATCATAAATAGTTCCATAGTTTACAGAGAAATAAGCAAGTGGAAAATATCCTGAAGAAATTTTCTTAGGGGATTGGGACTGTGTACCATAAGAGATCATTTACAGCAGAGGAAAAACAAAATATTTTTGCCTAGAGAATTATTCAAAAAATTGTAGCATATATTGATCAGCTGACAGGTGAACAGGCATGCACAGCATCACTAAAACCTACTTTGCAACAAGAAAACAAACCAAAATAAAAAAGATGTCAATTGTGCCCTCTAAGAAAATACAGGAAAACAAAACACACATGCTATGAGTGTAAGCGATACTTATGTATGAACCATGCAGTTGTCACATGTGGCAACTGCCCTGAGTGTGTTGGTTCAATCAAAGCTTATTTCTGTAGTAGACTTTTTGCTTGTGTTTACATTGGCTCACAGAGCATTTTATATTTGATCGCATCTTATAGGTTTTGTAAGGAAGTAAATAGCTGATGTGAAAATGTTGATGTCTAGTCTAAGCACTCATTGTATATTTGCATTTTATTTTATTGATATCATATTTACCTGCTAAGTGCATGCTGTAAAATACAGAGGGAGGCTCCTGACAAAACAGGAAGAGAGGTGACAACATTGTCACATAGGAAAGGAAAGCTGAGCATATGTGCTGTCCACATAAACAAGATAGGAGAATAGAACACGCAGTTTCATGTGTGAAGGCTGACTTGGGTGTAGTGGTTGAAGCAAAGTTTATTTCTGTGGCAGAGTTCTACTAATATTTTCATCGTACTTCATAAAGGAATTTGTTTCTGATGCTATCTTTTACATTTTTAAAGAAAATACACAGCTGATGTGGAAATGTTGATGTCTATTTTAAGCACAATGCATATTAAAATTTTAATATTTTCTTTTATCAATATTTTATATTCCAGATAACCTCACACTATATAATATAATGAGAAACTGCTGAAAAAACGGCAAGACGACTGAGACGTCAAGTATGTCCTATGAAAAGCCCAGGAAAGCAAAACATATGAGCTGTCAGGGTAAGTGATCCTAGGTGTGGGACATAATTTTGTCTGGCTTTAACACTGCCTCATGTGTGATAATTAAAGTGAAGGGATTTTTAAAAAGTGTTATTGGTATTTTCATTGTAGTTCATATAAGAATTAATTTGTATTACTCTGTTTCAGATTTAGTGCACCATAAAATGGTCAATGTCAAAAGCTTTGATGCTTTATATAAGCATTAGTTAATTATTAAAAATTCAATACTTTATTTTTGTGACTTTTTTTCCTGTTAAGTACTCACTGGTAAATATAGCAAAACTCATAAAACTAAAATTAATAATTCATCATCAGAAATATTCTAAAGACAAATGCAGGTCTGAACGACCCTTATTTCTGCATACTAATGACAAAATTAGTGTTATGCTAATTATGTTAAATATTTCAGATCTGTCACTAAGAGTGATACGGAAGTTAAGACTGAACTAAACTTTAGTGAACTTCCCCTTCCTGACTTCCACTTATCTTCTGACAAGGCTTTTCAGAATGATTTTTCAAAATCTTGTGTCGTGCTTAGATAAATACTGAACCGAGCCCTCAGGATGACTGGAGTATAACCCGTGGGATAATTCTCCGCTTTAGAATTAATTTTGCATGAAGCTTTGTACCTGATACATTCAGGAATTAGATGTTTTTTTCTATTTAAACATTGTGCTGCCAACCGTGTGCAAAAATTATCCTTCAGTATCCAAGTATAGCTAAGGCATATTTTAGCAATTATGGGCTTTTCCTTATTTTGAACCCAAATATGAATATATATATATATATATATATATATATATATATATATATTTCATATCAGAGCTGAGGCCATGTCCTGGTAGAGTGGTGGCAGACCTGTGGCATGCATGCTGCTGCAGGCTGTTGGCATCATTGAAAGCTCTAAATGGTTTGCCATCACTGTCCCTGTGTCACTTTGAGCTGGCATGTTAGATGAAGTGTTTTGCAGTTGTTTGGCAAGCTCTGATCCCTCTAACTATGAGTGATGATTTTGGTCTTTTCTACACTGGATAAACTATGTAAAACCAATAACATACAGTGGAATGCAATTTTGAATACATTCTTTTTTTTTATTTAAAGAAAAGGAAACAAAAAATACATGGAGATAAAAAAAAGGGTAGAAATAATACAAAATTACAGAAAAATAAACGGTAAGAATTTGCTGGTTGATAAGTCACATATTGTCATCTTAGAAATAGCTGCTCAGGGTACAAAATTAAAGTATTTAAAATGACATTCAAAAAGTGACACTGCAAACAGTTCTGCTCAATGATTGAACAAAAACTCAGTAATATGGTTATCAGTCCTACACACTTGTTTTACATCTCAAAGAGGGTAAGATTAAACATCAAAACAGAACAAAACAGTTAAAAAAAACAATTTAAAGAAATACAGATTTCAAAGCAAGTCCACTGGAGATCTTCACTGTCTATCTAACTTTCTTGTGGTTGATACATTGACATTCATTTGCTTGAATAGCAAAAAGGTATTGAGTCAAAAAACAGCTCACCACGCCATCTTTAGCACAGAAGTTTTGGATTGATGGTCTTCGGTCCCATTACTTTCACCCAGCCATATTGGGTAATGAACTTCATTTGTGCTTCACTTATCCTGGATTTTTTATGCATCTCTCACCTATGCTGGTGATACCCACAGGTATTTTGATGCTAATTCATGTTTCAGTATATATAGAGAGGGAGAGAATAGAGACTACAGAAGTACTCCAGTACTGTAAACTCCTGTGCTTACTTTGGTATGTTAAACATTTACTTAGCAAACTGGGATGGGGTGTATGCTTTAGTAATGAAGGCACAGAAATTAATCGGATACTATTTCTGTTCTAAAGGAGCTCATGTTTTAATGGGGAAGTTAAAATGTTCCCACAGATAATATAAATAAAATAACAAGTGTAAAGTTCATTGAAATGAAACTGTGCATATAAAAAATATGTTGTGTCACTATAGAATCTAAAGCACAGTTAGATTCCTGCAAGATACATGATGAGTTTTCTCCAGAGTAGAGTAAAAGAAACGTTTTAGCATCTAGCAGAGGGACCTCATAAAATTCATTGGATAGTTCGCTGCATTACTTAACTGATTTATAAAATTACTATATAAATACTTAAATTCCCAAAACACATTTCTCTAAGTGTGGTGCTCAGTTCTCCATTCATCTTTCCAATGTGATCGGTCTGATTAAAGATCCACATGAGTTACTGTCTTCTTTAATTCATGTTAGTGAATTTCTGGGTGGTAAAATAAACTAAAGAGATCAACTTTAACTACCAAACACTGATAAGAAGGAATGTATTTCTTTTTCACCAACCACGGTATGTCTGATTGATTAAACTATTTATATTTTAGCTTTTCTCATGGAATCTCTAAGAGTTGACTCCCGTAAATGAATGCCAGCCTTTTATATCTTGCTATAACATGACTAATATATACCTGGTTATTTGTCTCTGATTACCATTTTTCCATCTCTATTTATGAGGTCACCTTGAGAAATATGTATAAAGGCCATAGTTCACTGTAAGATAATTAGTGCTATTACCAACCATGTTGAATATAAATTACCCAGGTGTCCAGTTTGCTAAATATTTCAAAAGTACATAAAGAGTTGGTCTAACACAGTTGTAAATTTTTATCTTGAAACAGATACAGATTTGTTCCTACATTCTCAGTTTCTCTATAAATTTCTGTCAACTTTACCTATAAACCTTTGCCTAAATCATCAACCATTTTCTTATAAAAATATATCTTGTCTTCTAACAATGGAAACCCAACATAGTCCATATAACCGGACAAGGAATGAGTACATTAGGATTGTGTACCTTCAGCATTTGTCTTTCTGGTTCTCTTCTCCATGCCATGTCTTCCTCTTCTCCAACAAGAAATAAATAGACCCAGTTAGATGAAATACTAAGAAGTTGGGAATGAAATGTTCACTCTCTAGTTAACAGGGCTCCAGCTTACAAAGCACTAGTCAATAATATTCTTAGCTTGGAAAAATCACACAATATCAGCTCTGAAATATCTTCATGATATTCAGATTATCGTTAGTCAATACAACATATGTGAAATCCCTGAAACTAACTGTTATGACTCTGGAATCACTGAAAATCTGATTTGTCAAGCTGTGACACAAATTTGTCTCCAGGATTTTTTTTTTTTTTTTTTTTTTTTGAGACACGGTCTCACTATGCAGTTCAGGCTGGCCTTGAGCTCACTTTGTAGCCCAAGCTGGTCTCAAACTCACAACAATCCTCTCACTTCACCTCCTGAGTTCTGGGATTACAGGCATGAAGCACCACACCTGGATTTTTTTGTGACTTCAGGAATTAATAAAAAGATACTAAATGTCACACAAAGTGTTGAAGAAAGAGGAACACATTGAGTTGATATAGCAGTAATTTCTAGTTCATGTAAGCTACAAAGAAGATATTGTTACTGGTCAGAGGCTCTCCATTAAGCACTTATCTAAAGAATTCTACTTCTTCAATATAAAAACTTCAGTTTAGAACATAAAGAAGAATGTAAAGTTCTTCTCATATCATGAGGAAGTGTTTCAAGATGCTTTTCCTCTGTCTAAACAATGTTCTTTTGTGTCTTTTTCTAGGAAACATTTCATGGAGGTCTTCCATCTTCTGAGAACTTTGGTAAATTTTGGGTGGAAAAGCTTTAAACTACAGAAAATAACTATGTTGATATTACTGTCCTCGTTGAGCTTATTGACTGGAAAGGGTAACAGATATAAAAACAAATAAGTTTTGAATTGCTTAAAGAAAATTGTTCTTTCACTGATACTAATTGCTCTAATAATTGTATAACAGAGGGCATGTGGCCTTCTATGCAAAAGTGGCATTTAGAATTCATGCAGTCTCAAAAAGAATTCAAGTTATATACAGCTTCATGTATCTGTGGTATAGTTTTAAAAAGGTACATTCTACTACAAAACAAGACTCAAAATAAATGCAGGGATACCAATTGAATGGTGTTATCTTTACTCAGAATTATGTTAGAAACAACTAAAGAGTTTTCAATAAGATAATTACTTAATGAGATTCAGGAGGACTACTTTGGCTACTATGTGGAGCAGAAATTTATATGTGTGTGGAAGAAACCTAGGAGCCCAGCTAAGAGATTGTTGCACAAATCACAATAAGAGACATTAGTAGACGAGGCTTGATGCAGAATGAGGTCACCTGAGGAAATGAATGCACAATTTGTGATCAAAACCTAGAAGTTTCTTAGAAGTTTAAAGAGCATTACTATTTACACCTGGATGACAAACATAAACAAGAGCTGTCTTGTGTAAAATGTGATTGTCCTTGCCAAATTATTTAAATGTCAAACAAGGCTGGTATGGTCATCAAGAAAGCAGAGAGGGTAGTTGGTAAGAAATGAGGAACATTCAAGGAAATAGTATAACAGAAGCAAAACACTGCTGAAGAGCTAACTGATTCCTCATGACTTAGAGATGTCCCTTGGACATCTGGTACTCACTGGTACTCTGTGCCATTTCTTCCTCTTATTAAAATGGGATGGTTTGATATCTGTCTTTTCAACATGAGAAGAAATCTTGATTTATGACTAGCAGCCAGGACATTTGTGAATGAATGAGTGAATGAATGATGATCAAAGTGAAAAGCACAGTCTGAATTCAGCAGAACAGAGATAATTAGTGTCCATATTGAGAATGCATTTTGTTGGAGTAATGAGAAACAGAGTCAATTTCCATTAAGAAAACAAAGGATTGGGAGGTGGAAGAGAGAAGACAGAATTTTTGATAACTCTTTCTAGAGGTTTGGCTGTGAGCCATTGGCTTAATAGATATCTGTTCTCAAGAGTTGATTGTTCCTTTGGATCTTGTGAAAATGTCAGCTTATGATAGCTTTTCTTTCTGAAAGTAATTTTATTAGATAAGGGCAAATATGTTAGCTTAATGAAGTTTTAAAGGATTATGAGATGTTTCCATATATATTGTATATTTTGCCTAGAATTTGCATAATACCCTTAAGAATGCAATTTAATTTAGTATTACAACCAGGTATTTCTTCTGTGTCAAGATGTAGTGTTTAGGAAAATAATTCAAGAGCCATGTATTTCATGACTATTCTTCAGGATTCCTAGTCTGTATTCAAAACTGAGTGAAATCACTTGACAGTTATATGGTTGGACAAGTCCTTTGTCAGAGTGGCAAGCAATCTTATTCCCACTGTGATTACTAATGGCAGTTTTACAGAACAGTTAGGTGAATTCCAACTCATTTCACCCCTATATTTTGATCACTGAGGACAATTAGTTTTATATTGCTCAGTCTCTATGTATCACGCATTTTATATAGCACTTCTGTGTCAGTTTAGTGCTGAGAAAATTTTTCTCTAAGGGACTGTTACAATTATTCCTCTTCTCTAGTAACATTTTTTGAACCCAACTGTGTCTTCTCTGATGATTGTCAAAGAAAACAACTAAGTGGTCAGAAGGGTTTCATTTTCTACTTTTCCCTCACATTTTAATATAGACCATAGTTTTAAAAGGCTTGTCTAAATCATCTAGGGAAGCACACATAATTGGCGTCCATTTGTCTTTTTTAGTTAGATAACCCTTTTCATCCTCTCAGAATTACAGGGTTACCACTGCCAGAAACAAATAAGTGATTGACAAAAATCACTTGTAGTTAAAATGAATCACTCGTACATTCCGTGCATGAGCTGCACGAGAATATTTTGGTCAAAGAGAGGTCACACATATAAGGGTAGTACTACAAACTTATAACTGAATAGAAAATATCTTTTTCTTAATGATGTCCTAGCCAGCATTATTTGTGAGTCAATGTACCACCTACATATTGATAATGGTACTGGTGTAAACACACCTACTGTGCTCAGTTGTATAAAATATGACACATCCAATTAGACATGGCACATGATAATTATGAAAAGAAATAAGTACAATCCTGGTCTCTATTTTTTACTATAGTATATTTTATATAATGAATTCAAAGTAGTCTTTTTGTTGTAAAACAGTACATTGTGTTACACCAGTAGCAGTTTCATAGATCTTGTATTTTCCACATCTCCTTTTTGAATTATTTTCTCTTGTGCTTGATTTAAATTCATCTTGTTTCATTTATCACAGGCTCTAAGGGTACAGAATTCACTGCTCATGTGGGCAGTAAGAGACTATATCGAGTCATTCACATGGTAATAAGGTTAAAATTGGTCAGGGACTACCATGGTAGAAAATCAGTAAAGGTCATTGTTTGCTGTCCATCAAGGACTTCCCGTCCCACCACAACTACTATTTTGTAGAATAAGAATAAAATAATGGAGTCTACTGAAACATCTGCTTCTCTGAAGGCAATAAGACTGAAAAAATTATGATGACTTGAAAAATGCTAACGGCTTGGATTAAAGGATAAAAACAAGTATATCCTTCTTAGCATCATGATGGCCATGGCCAAAGTAAAAAAAAATGTATTTATATTAAAAGAAAATGTTGCACAACACAGGTCTGGGAGACTTACTCATTATGTAGTATGAGATAAAATGGTAAGTCTCGATGGGTTATTGCAGAATTTTTAAAGCTCTAGACACATTGATTACAAAGGACAATTGTTTATCAGAGTAATCTTCAATGTGGATATCTCTTTAATTCTACAAATATGTGAAAGGACTTTCATCCACAAAGAGGAAAAGTTATTTTCAGGTTTCAAGGATTTTAATGACAGAATACATATCTCGTATGGTTGCAGTGCTATAGTCTACATATTGAAACTATTTGTTTCCTGAAACACAGAGAACTATGGGGACCCCAAGCATATTTATAAACATAATTGCCCACGTATTACAGGAGCAATAAGAAATCATGGGTGATTCACCTCATATTACAAGATGTCTTACTGGTATGAAATGGAGGAGTACCCTGGAGACTAACACACATTTTCACAACTTTGCTTATTGTTAAGGGTGTTCCTCTATATACTCCCTTTGGTTGTTGATTTTTCATCTCCTAATCAAAATAGTGCTTCTCTTTTTAAATACCACCACTTTTCCACAAATGATGGAAGGATGGACTGCATTAGTTTTTGAATCCTGCTCGCAAACAGAACCTTTGCCCAGCAGATTATTGCTGCCAAGGCAGATGCTGAGGAGACACAGAAGCAGTACTGGAAGGAGGGTAGCTTGTTATGAGAACGTCAAGAAGCTTGCTTTGGCTCATGCTGATGTCAGCACTAAGTGCATGAATGGCATCCGGAAGAAAAGAGGCAAGGGGATTTGCCTTGGCTTCATAAGTTTTGCCAAGGAGGTTGGCTTGAGGAACTCAACAAGGTTGTGGTTGAAATACCAAGTAAATATTTCCTGGGTGGCACTGAGTGGCTACTGGAATTGAATCCTAAGGAACTGACCAGTCCCAGTCATCAGGTGATGGAACTGAAATAGGCACATACAGCTTGCAGAAAAGCAGCAAAAAGTGAAAATGCAGGGGAAGGAAATGGAGAATCTCCAAAACAATACACAGGGAAAAATTTCACAAAACATTTTGCCAACCTCAGTAACCTCCTTAAAAAGTTTGCAAACATGACCCCCAACACAGAAAAGTTTTCATTAGTATCGAAGAACGATGATGCTGCATTATCTGGGTACAAGCAATTCTGTGATGAGCAAAGACACAGCAAGCAAACCCCAAAGGACATGGTCCTGAACAGAGGGACACAATCTGAAGAAGAACCTCAGGCAGGGCTATCAGGGGAGGTTCCAGAAGCAGGCGTTGTCACTGCAGCTGATGACAGCTTCATTTTTACCAAGGGCTATGGAGACCCTCCAGTGGTACAAGGTGTGGCGGGGGAAGAGATGGTGCCAAATCTATGTAGACCTAGGCTAACACTTGTCCTTTTAATTTCATTTTGAATCAAAATTGTAGGTAAAAGCATGAAATTTAAGTGACAAAGGATATAGAATAAAATTATAAAGTATGTGTGCAGCGGTGCAACTTGTCTGTGGTTTGTGCTAAGCATTGTTTAACAGAAAGTCAAAAAATTGAAAAGTTTATCCGGTTCATTTTCACACTGATTGAAAGTTGCATTACTATTGGAGCAAGATTCTCCAAATCAATTTAGTGCAGCACACGAGTGTAGTGCACAGTAGTGAACTGCAGTGTTGTGCACTTTCCTATTCACTCTCCACCAGCTCAGTGGCCATCCCACAGCAACTTCCTGTCTCACAGGGCCATTTTTGGCAAATTCTCTGCCTTTTTCTACTGTGGCTTTTCTTCATTTATGTGTTTTAGATATACAAACACTTACTACTGTGCTAAAACTGCCGGGATATTATTCAGTTCAGTAATGGAAATATACAGTGCCAGTTAGAATTTTAGGAGCCATAGGCTACATCATATAATCTGGGTGTATATAAGGCTCTACCATCTTGGTGAGTATATTCCCACATGGTCATATGCTAACTATACTGCCTAATGGTGCATTTCTCAGAATGCACCTCCATGGGTATGTGATGCGTGACAGTACATGTGCTATTGGGCAAAGGAAATAAAACTTTTTCAAGTTATCTTCCAAGAAATTATTACTGTCCTTGAGGTCAACTATCTGCATTATGCTGAAAAACTCATATATAAGTCACTTGCTGTTTTTAAATTTAATTATTTAAAGAGAAAAAAAAAACCCAAAACACTAAAAGGCTACAAATAATACAGAATTTCAAAAAAAAATAAACAATAACAAATCAGGAGTTAATAGATTACATACTGTTATCTTAGAAATAGTTGTTCAAATTACAAAATTAAAGAATACAAAGTGAACATTCAAACAGTGAGATTGCAAACAGTTCTGTTCAATGATCCAACAAAAACTTAGTAGCTCAGGGGCATAAGCACCTGCCTTGCAAGCAGGCAGTCGAAAGTTCGATCCCCGGTACCGATAAAAAAGAAAAAAAGACCAAAAAACAAAACAAACAAACAAACCAAAAACAAAAAC